ATTTTCTTTACAAAGCTGATCTTAGGAGATTGTATTCTATGACAAAGTATATTTTTCCAAATGATTTTATATAAAACTATTTCTTTTCAAGACAATATTCTAATAAAAAGTTGTAATTTTTCTAAAGAAAAGTGTTTTTTTACAACAAATTTCTATGGAAAAGTGTCTTTTAAAAATAATTTTTTCTAAAGAAATCACTTTTTAATACATTTTTCTATATAAAATGTAGGAGTTTCATAAAGTTTTTCATAGAAAATTCTTTTTTTTAAGAGAAAATTTTTGATATAAAAGTTTTTTTTTAACAAATTTCTATAGAAAAATGTATTTAAAGAAACGTTTTCTTTAGAAACTTTCTTGTCAAAATGTATATTTTTCAAATTGATTTTTGTATGAAAAACGTTTCTTCTTAAGGCAATAAGAAAAAGTATCTCCCTTAGAATTTTCTCTAAGACAAAGTAACTTTTTAAGACTTTTTCTCTAAAGAAAAGTGTCATTTTAGGAAAGAATCCTGAACAAAAGTGTCTTTTTAAAGTAGTTTTCTCTAAACAAATGTCCTTTTTTTACACTTTTCTTTATAAAACGAGTTATTTTTTGGAATTTTTCCATAAAAAAATTATTTCTTAAAGAAAATATTCTATATGAAAGTCTCTTTGTAAAACAAATTTATAATAAAATTGTATTTTAAGGAAAATTTTCTTTAGTGAATTGAATTTGTGTTCTAATTTTCTATCAAAAAGTATACTTTTTCAAATTGATTTTATATAAAAAACGTTTCTCTTTAAGGCACTACTGTAAGAAAAAAATGTGAAAGTAGTTTTTTTAAGACAAATATCTATAGAAAAGTGTCTTTTTAAAGTAGTTTTCTCTAAACAAATGTCTTTTTAATACATTTTTCTATATCAAATATATGATTTATTTTTAATTTTTCAATAGAATGTAAATTTTTTTACACAAAAATTTTTATATAAAAGTATTTTTTCTATTATTAAGCAAAGTTTTTATAGAAAAATTTGCAAAAAAAATTGTATTTTAAGAAAAATTTTCTTTGAAAATTTGTTTCTGTGTGATAAATTTCTATCAAAAATTATATTTTCAAATTGATTTTATATAAAAAAAAGTTTCTTTTGAAGACCTAATCTAAAACAAAGTGTTTTCTATAGATATTTTTCTAAAGGAAAGTGTCTTTTTGCAACAAATTTCAGTAGAAAATTAAGTTTTTTAAATAATTTTCTCCAAACAAATGTCTTTTTAATAACATTTTCTGTATAAAACGTGTGTTTTTTTAAAACCCCTGTGTTTTTTTAAAACCCTTTTCATATAGAAAATTTTCTATATGAAAAACTGTTTTTAAAACAATTTTCTAGGGAAAAGTTTTTTAAGACAATTTTTGAATCATATTTTATTTTTATAAAATTGTGTCCTTAAGACCACTTTCTACAGAAAACTATTCCTTTATTAATATTTTCTTTACAAAAATTATCTCTTCAAGACAAGTTTCTATCAAAAAATTTAGTTTTAAAATAACTTTCAATAGACATACTTTTGTATGTAAGTGTCTTTTTATTACATTTCCTATAGAAACTTACATTCCAAGGACACTTTGCTGCAAACTATTGTTTTCTTAAGTAAATTTTCTATAGAAACGTATATTTTAAAGACAAGTTTTTTTCAGGAAATATCTTTCAAACACAATTTTCTTTACACAATTTTCAAGACAGTTTTCTATAGATAAAAACTTCTTCAGAAATTTTTTTCAAGCTAATAGTTTTCTCTATAGAATAGTGTCTTTTTAAGAAAATTTTCTATTGAAAATATTCTTTTTACAACAATTTTCTATAAAAATGAATTCCATTTTAAAATAATTTCTTTTAAGAAAAGTGTCTTTTTAAGATAATTTTTCTCTGATAAGTATTTTTAAAGCATATTTTCTATGGAATAGACTAGAATGAAGACTACTTTGAGGACTTGTTAATGCACTAGTATTACACTATTACACAGAGTAGTCCACAGATTAGTAAATAATGTAGTCCGCAGTCTAGTCATTAGACTAGTGCGTAGACTAATTCACAGGCTAATCAATAGACTAGTCTATAGACTATTCAATAGACTAGTGCACAGATTAGTCCATAGTTTGTCAAGACCAGTCAATAGTCTGTGCTATAGTTTAACCATATACCAAGCAATAGTCTAGTTCATACCCCAGTCAATGGGCTAATAAAACTTTGAAATGTAGTTCAGTACTTTTTATCCTTAAAAGTACTATTTTCGAAATAAATTAAGTACCATTTCAAAGTTTAAAAATATCATTGCTTGGCTTGTATTATCATTATTATGTAAACACAAATAGTTCCCTTTTCACTAAAACTATTGCATTTCCTTCCTTCTTTATCCTCTCTCAAAAAAATCCCATGATTGTATTGGACATGCGCATTGAACACTTGTTAATGCAATTATACAAATAACTACGTTTGCTCTTTCTAATAAATCCATTTCAACCTGTTGCTATTTTCATATATCTCACTCCCACGAATGCAAACAAATTTTAACTTTTCATCACATTTTCAATTCCTTTTTAACCAACTGCTCACTCTCACTACAAACAAATGTTAACTGAGCTTTTTGCGCAGATATTCCATCTCTTTCTGTCTTTTTGTTTTACTCCACTAAAGGCTTCCTTTCCTTTAGTTGTTTTATTAATCAGTTCTTAGTGTGATTTCTTAACAATACGTTCGTCTTCCGGTAGTGTCGTTATAAAATGTTAAATAAAGAAAAAGTTATTATATTCAAATAAAAAGTTAATAGAAATATAGAGTGTAAAAAGTTTTATAAGAAAAAGTTAAATTTTGTTAAGAAATCGCAATATTTGTTAATAAATTCGTTGTTGAAAGAAGTTGTTAGGAAAAAATGTGCTGCAGGCAGCGCAGTCGTTAGGAAAAAATTCGTGTGTATCTATTGTTCGAAAAGTTTGGCAAATTCTCTCTGCTGCCGGCTTTTTTTTTATGAAAAAGTGTTTTGTTAAAGAGAAATAGTTATTTAGTGAAAGGGGGTAATGGGAAGAAAAGCGTTTAAATAAAATTAAGTATATAAAAGAGAGCAAAGTATTAAAATAAAGAGAAAATAAATGATGAGTAAAGTAAATGCTCCACTATGGCCTGTTTGTTGTATGAAATAATGAAAAGGTTTGTGTGATAGTGTTGGTGTGTACAAGTGTTTTTGATTCAAGTTTTAAAGGAAATAAAAAAATGTTGTTAGAAAAAGCATAAGCAAAACGTTATATATAGGTTAAAAAAATATAGAAAAATAAATGAAAAGGTTTAAAAGTAATAAAAAGTAAATTAATGAAATTTGTTTAGTAAATCTCCTTTCTATGGCCTTTTTTAAAATAAGTATTAAAAAATTGTGTTAAAAAATGTTAGAAAATCAAAAAATTTCTTTGATTTTAATAGTTTTTTGTTAAAGGGAGGTCATCTTCTTAAGGTGTAGAATCCAGTTATTTGTATAAAAAGGTAAATTTTCATATAAAATTATTTAATTCATCAAAATATTCAATTATATTTTCTACAGAAAAGCTCTTCTTTAAAAGAGTTTTATTTTAAAGAAATTATTAAATTAAGGCAGTTTTTGTTATAATAAAGGCTTTTTTTAAAAACAATTTTGTATGGAAATGAGTTTTCTAAGACAATTTTAACTAGATCAGTTTCTTTTGACAACAACTCTATATAAAAAAGTGTCTTTTTGAGGTAATTTTCTATAGAAAACTATATTTTTAAGGTTTTTTCTATAAAGCGTAAACAGTAAAGTGTAACAGTTTATTTTAAGACAATATTCCAAGAAAAGGCGTCTTGCTTCGACATTTTTCTTAGGAACAGTGTCTTTTTACAAACAAATTTCTGTAGAAAAGTGTTGTTTAAGAACATTTTTCTATTAAAAATACATTTCTTTAGAGAAAATGCCTGCTTTTTTTTAATTTTTAATAAAAAAAATCCTTTTTTCTGTTTTAGTTCTGTTCTAGTTCTGTTCTAGTTCTGTTCTAGTTTTGTTCTGTTCTAGTTCTGTTCTAGTTCTGTTCTAGTTTGTTCTGTTCTAGTTCTGTTCTAGTTCTGTTCTACTTCTGTTCTAGTTCTGTTCTAGTTCTGTTCTAGTTCTGTTCTAGTTCTGTTCTAGTTCTGTTCTAGTTCTGTTCTAGTTCTGTTCTGTTCTAGTTCTGTTCTAGTTCTGTTCTAGTTCTGTTCTAGTTCTGTTCTAGTTCTGTTCTAGTTCTGTTCTAGTTCTGTTCTAGTTCTGTTCTAGTTCTGTTCTAGTTCTGTTCTAGTTCTGTTCTAGTTCTGTTCTAGTTCTGTTCTAGTTCTGTTCTAGTTCTGTTCTAGTTCTGTTCTAGTTCTGTTCTAGTTCTGTTCTAGTTCTGTTCTAGTTCTGTTCTAGTTCTGTTCTAGTTCTGTTCTAGTTCTGTTCTAGTTCTGTTCTAGTTCTGTTCTAGTTCTGTTCTAGTTCTGTTCTAGTTCTGTTCTAGTTCTGTTCTAGTTCCGTTCTAGTTCTGTTCTAGTTCTGTTCTAGTTCTGTTCTAGTTCCGTTCTAGTTCTGTTCTAGTTCTGTTCTAGATCTTGTTCTGCTCTAGTTTCGTTTAGCTTTTTTAAACATTTTCGTAAATATTAAGGTAACATATATTCCATCCCTGCATCTTTTTTACTTAAGCTCTCTCTTTTTTTACTCTCCCATCATTTTACCTTTTTAACAGTTATTTTATTAACATAAACTTTCTTGGTGGTGAGTTTAATTATGTTACCAAAATTTTCTCTTGTTTTGCTACTGTTATTAGTTGTTTACCTCTGGTTTTAGTATGTGTTGGTCTGTTATGTTGTATTTGTTTTGCTGTTAACAGCAGTTTAAGCTTTAAAGTTACTGTTAAGCTGTATGTTAAGTTTATTTAAACCACCACTTTTATTATTAAACTAAACAACGTGTTGCTTAAGCAATAAATGAATTTAGTTTTAAAACGAGTTTCAAAACGTACGGTTCGTTTAACAGTTGGTTAGATAAATAAAAAAACACAAATTAGCTGCATTTAATGCAATTTTTTAGAGTTTGTGTGTGTGTTTTTTATATTTTTTTTTCGATTAACGCGTGTGAATTTTTGTTAAGAAAATATAAATAAAAGATTTAAAATTTTAAAGCAATATTTTTAACAGAAAAATTTGTTGTTAAAGAAAACGTAATTTAAGAAAACCACAAATACATACATACATATTTTTATAAAATAAAAGAAAATTTTATTTTTTATAAGTTGTTTATAAGAAAAAAAATTGAAGAAAATATTAAAAGAAAATTAAAGATAAATTAAAAATTGCTAAAAAAAAGTGATGAAAATTGTTAAAAAAAAAAACAGCAAAATTTTTACAAATATTTTAAAATAATTTAGAAGTTTTAAACTAAAAATTATTGAATAGAGTTCAAAATCTACGAAACACCACTTTAAAAAGGATTAAAAAAATTGCATAAAAAGTAAGTAATCTAGCGATGACCTCAGTTATAGGTCCCTTTCAGTTAGTTAGACAGAGAATTATTCAAATTTTCGTAGCTGAATGAATATTTTCTTAGTTGAATTGTTGAGTTTTGATGAAAAAATTGTTAAATATTACATAATGTCTTAGCTGAATAAGGTTTTTTTCCAGCTGAATTAGGGAATTAATATAAAAAAAATCAATAATTTTAACCATTTTACTTTTCTAAATTAAAATTTGAACAGCTGAATTGCATTTTCGTTCAGCTGAATTAGTTTTTTAACAGCTGAATTGCTTTAACTTAAGAGGAAATGTGTATTTTGTCAGCTGTATTGTAGTTTTCTTAGCTGAATTGAGTTTTATCCCAGCTGAATTGCAAAATTTATATAAAAAATCCATAATTTTTACCTTTCTACTTAGCTGAATTGAAAATTCAAAAGTTTTCTTAGCTGAATTGAATTTTATGCCAGCCGAATTAGAGAATTTATATAAAAAATCAATAATTTTAACAATTTTACTTGGCTGAATTGAAAATTTAAAAGCTGAATAACATTTTTGTTCAGCTGAATTTGGTTTTTATCAGCTAAATTGCTTTATTTTAATAGGAAATGTGATTTTTGTTAGCTAAATTGAGGTTTTCTTAGCTGAATTGAGGTTTATGCCAGCAGAATTAGAGAATTTATATAAAAAATCAATAATTTTAACTATTTTACTTAGCTGAATTGAAAATTCAAAAGCTGAATAATATTTTTGTTTAGCTGAATTAGTTATTTAACAGCTGAATTGCTTTATTTAAATAGGAAATGTTATTTTTCTTAGCTGAATTGTGGTTTTCTTAGCTGAATTGAAAATTGAAAAGCTGAATTACATATTTGTTCAGCTGAATTGCTTTATTTGAATAGGTAATGTGGTTTTCTTAGCTGAATTGTGGTTTTATTAGCTGAATTATGGTTTTTGTTTGCTGAATTGGAGATTTCTTAGCTGAATTGCTAAAATTTATTGGAAAATAGTAAAAAATTACTTAAATTATTTCATATTATCAGTTTTACTTCAGCTGAATTACTTTTTCTTTAAAGAAAATTAATGATGCTGCTTTTTATTTCAATTAAAACTTAGCTGAATTGAGTTTTTTCCAAGCTGAATAACAAACTTTCTATAAAAATCTATAATTTTAATAACTTACAATAGCTGTGTAGAAAATGTGAATAGCTGCTTGTAATTTTAGTTCAGCTGAATTGCTAATTTTAATATGAAAACTCTAAATAATACATTTATTTTATGCTGAATTGAGTTTTTCCCAGCTGAATTAGAGAAATTCTACAAAAAGCAATAGTTTTAACAATTTTAAATACAAGAATTTAAATTTCAATAGCTGAATACAATTTTCGTCTAGCTGAATTGTGATTTCTTTAGCTGAATTATAAAATTGTTGGCTAAATTTGTGATTTTCTACGAAAAATTGCTAAATATTACATTTAATGTTAGTTAAATTGAGTTTTTCCCCAGCTGAATTAGAAAAATTAATAAAAAAGTGCGAAATATTTAAGCTATTTTTAGCTGAATTAAGATTTTACTCAGCCGGATTAGATAATTTATATGAAAATTTACAATTTTACTCCGCTGAATACAATTTTTGTCCATTTAAACTCGGATTTCTTTAGCTGAATTATTATATTGATAAATTTTTAGCGTTAAAATATCATTTGTTAACATTTTTACTTAGCTGAATAGAGTTTTAGCTTAGCTGAATTAGAATTTTATTAGCTGAATTGTTATTTTATTAAAGAAAAGCTTTAAAAATAACATTAATTTTAAGCTGAATTGTGTCTGCTCTCAGTTGAATAAGAAAAATTTTATAAAAATTTAAAATCTTTGCAGTTTAACTTAGCTGAATACAATTTCTGCTTAGCTGAATTGTAATTTCTTTTAGTATTTTCCCTCACACTTCCTTTTACACTTACTCTGTGTGTTTGTTGTGCTTTACAAATGACCTTTCTTACTCTCTTTTCCCCTAGCAAATCAAACACTATATGGAAGAGAGTAATTACGGTTTAATTACAAATTGCTTGTTCTTTAAAATTATTGTGTTTGTTGCATTCTTGTTATAAGTATACATGTTGCTGTTATTGTTGTTGTTTTTTAGAATAATTTTTCTATAGTAATTTGACTACTGCAATGGTCAAGCTTAAATTATTAACTCTCCAGCACCACCTACTCTGCTGTTACAAAAACAAAACAAAAAACCCAGAAAAACAAAAAATTAATAATAACAACAACAAACTACTATTTGAGAACAGCTGATTAAACAATTATAAACATGTTATTTATTACAAAAACAACAACAAGGTGGAAGTTATTTTACTTTTTTTGTTGCTTCTCTTTTCATATAAAATTCTCTGGTATGTAAATATATGATTGTTGTTGTTGTTGCTGTTTTACTATTTTATTATTGTTTTTAAATTCTGTTGCAATTTTATTTTTTTCTTCTTTTCCTCTTCTCTTTCTGGTTGTTGTTATTTTTCAATTATTTCTTGTCGTTTTTGTTGTAGTTGTTGTCATTGTTTGGTGCATTTAACCGTTAAATTTGCAATTTTTTTTATCAAATAAAAGGAATTTGTATGAAAATTTTCTTGAATTTTTTTTAACGAAATTACAGAAACTTTCTTTTGTTAAAAAAAAAATTAAATCAGATTTTAAAGTTTTAAAAGAGACAAGACTATAGTCTATACTATACTATAGACTAGACTATAAACTAAACTATAGACTAGACTACAGACTAGACTATAGACTAGACTATAGATTAGACTATAGACTAGACTATAGACTAGACTATAGACTAGACTATAGACTAGACTATAGACTAGACTATAGACTAGACTATAGACTAGACTATAGACTAGACTATAGACTAAACTATAGACTAGACTACAGACTAGACTATAGACTAGACTATAGACTAGACTATAGACTAGACTATAGACTAGACTATAGACTAGACTATAGACTAGACTATAGACTAGACTATAGACTAGACTATAGACTAGACTATAGACTAGACTATAGACTAGACTATAGACTAGACTATAGACTAGACTGTAGACTAGACTATAGACTAGACTATAGACTAGACTATCTACTAGACTACAGACTAGACTATTGACTAGACTATAGACTAGACTATAGACTAGACTATAGACTAGACTATAGACTAGACTATAGACTAGACTATAGACTAGACTATAGACTAGACTATAGACTACACTATAGACTAGAGTATAGAAAAGACTATAGACTATACTATCGACTAGACTATAGACTAGACTATAGACTAGAGTATAGAAAAGACTATAGACTAGACTATAGACTAGACTATATACTAGACTATAGACTAGACTATAGACTAGACTATAGACTAGACTATAGACTAGACTATAGACTAGACTATATACTAGACTATAGACTAGACTATAGACTAGACTAGTAGACTAGACGATAGACTAGACTATAGACTAGACTATAGACTAGACTATAGACTAGACTAAGACGAGACTAATAGACTAGACTATAGACTAGACTATAGACTAGACTATAGACTAGACTATAGACTAGACTATAGACTAGACTATAGACTAGACTATAGACTAGATAGACCTATAGACTAGACTATAGACTAGACTATAGACTAGACCTATAGACAGACTATAGACCTAGACTATAGACTAGACTATAGACTAGACTATAGACTAGACTATAGACTAGACTATAGACTAGACTATAGACTAGACATAGACTAGACTATAGACTAGACTATAGACTAGACTATAGACTAGACTATAGACTAGACTATAGACTAGACTATAGACTAGACTATAGACTAGACTATAGACTAGACTATAGACTAGACTATAGACTAGACTATAGACTAGACTATAGACTAGACTATAGACTAGACTATAGACTAGACTATAGACTAGACTATAGACAGACTAGAGACTAGACTATAGACTAGACTAGTAGACTAGACTATAGACTAGACTATAGACTAGACTATAGACTAGACTATAGACTAGACTATAGACTAGACTATAGACTAGACTATAGACTAGACTATAGAAGACTAGACTAGACTATAGACTAGACTATAGACTAGACTATAGACTAGACTATAGACTAGACTATAGACTAGACTATAGACTAGACTATAGACTAGACTATAGACTAGTCTATAGTCTCGGACTTTAAACTATTCTATAGTCCTGACTATGGACTATGCTATAGTTCAGGCTATGGACCATGCTATAGTCTAGACAATAGACTATCCTATAGTTCAACTATAGACTATTCTATAGTCTAGACCATAGACCATTCTATAGACCAGCGGTTCCCACCGATTTTTACTTCGCGGACCCCTTGAAGAACTTATTTAATTTCGCGGGCCTCCATACATATTTTGATATCTTATTGTTCTAAATAATTGTCCATCCGAAAATTGACCTAGTTCATTAATTCCTAGGTCTAATAAATGTAGAGATGTCATATCTATAAAATATTCCCGTACTTTGAGAATATATAATATTTCAGATAGGTTTTCAATTGCATGTTTTGAAGATAGAATGACTTCTTTGTTGATATGTTAACATGATGTATAATTTTATGATCGTGAGATCTTTCATGTTCATTTTTCTTCAAGGTAGCGAAAAGGTTTCTTTATCAAATATTGTCACATGTGCTTAAGGAGTCACGTTTCAAAAATTTGTTGCGATTGCAAAGGGTGAACTGAGTAAGTGAGCTAAGTTTTCGGGAAAATAATATAAGAAAGTTGGACTTCTTCTATGTTGTTGCGGAATGCGTTATCCGCATAATATATGATTTGAACTCTTTGTACTGTGAATTTGGAACTTAAATTTGAATTTTAAAATACCAACGAATTATTTTACTTCATGGTTTTTGGCTACATATTTACGCGAAACGCTATGGATTTTCTGATGTTAATTTAATAATACGTATTGGTCAACAAAATCAAGTTAAAATCTGTGTATCACGTCGGATTGGAATATTTATAAAGAGATACATAAAGAGTCACCTCTGTTTTGGAAATATATAATTTTAGTCCTTTCAAAAACTTTTGCTTACAATTTGATAAACTTAAATCTGTAATAAGCTTGTCTTTGAATTGAACTTCATACTCCGGTACCAGTATCCCTAATTTAATTGTAAGGCAGAGTATTATTTGTCTGAAATAAAAACCATTATTTCAGTACATATACAGGAAATAAAAATTACAAATCACGCAATACTTTATTTTATAAAAGTTATACAATAAATTTGTAGGGCCTAGCTTCTTCCTGATAAACAGCCGAAAAAATAAAATTCAAAAAGTCACCAAAAAATTCGGGATTATTGCACAAAAATTGGAGATATTTGTACATACATATAAAAGCAGAATATTGTTTATTCATGGTTTTTTTCGTTCGTCTTCGCGGACCCCCTAGGATTTTACTACGGACCACTAGGGGTCCGCGGACCCCCATTTGGGAACCGTTGCTATAGACAATCCTATGGCCCAGACTTAAAATTGTTCTATTGACCTGACTATTCTCAAGTCCAAAGTGAAAATCATTAAATTTGATACTGCTTCTCAATATATACTCCCGGATAAATTCCTCCTGTTCCTCATTTTCTCGCTGGCGCCAACAGTCTCCTATTCCATACACTCCTTTACAGCGTTACATTAATTTTACATGACTTGGCGTTGGCAAATGTCAAACAAAATCTATCAATTTGACAGAAATGTCAGCGCAACACATAATTCCAACAAAATATGTCAATCAAATCAAAACATATAAGATTACAACACTGCAAGTGTGAATAGTAGATACAAAAGACTACTTCGACATGATGGGGAGAATATAGAATAGATTTGCTTACAAAAGACCTTCAAAAAATTAATTTTTCTAAGGCAGACTTTAGCAGATAATAAAAAAAATTGTTTGGTCAGAAGTTTTTTTTAAGAAAATTATTTTAATTTGCTTAAATAAAAACTGCAAACATTGGCATATTTTTTTTTCTTTAGTTTAAGCAGTCGGTATGGCAAATAATAAATTGTTTAAATAAAAAGCAAGCTAAATTATTTTTTTATGAAAAACATCTGTGCCACAACTTTTGCAACGCTTCAATTTAAGCGAAATTAAAATACAATAACAATAAAAATAATTTTTTTTTATGTAGAGACTATAAAGCCAAGAAAACATATAATTTATTTAAAGAAATATTAAACCGATATATATTTTTTTATTTAACTACCAGGTAGCAAAAAAAAAAAAAGATATTCGTTTAAAAAATAAATAATTAAAAAAATTTGTAAAATGTTATAGTGAAAAAAATTTTTGCTAAAATCCACAAAAAAATATATGAAGTTTATTCAATAGTCTTGTTTATGTAGAGAAAATAATTTATTTTTTTTATAATGATTTTGAAAAAAAAGAAGAAAAACTATAACAAATTAAAGTGAAAGATAAATAAATAATAAAAAGTAAACTTGCAAAATCAACACGAAAAAAACATGATGTTAAACATAAATAAATAATGTAAACAAAAGAAAAATAATAATTTTAACTAATAATTTAACTAAACAAAAAATACAGTGTCTAGCAAAAAAAAAACCGAAATCTTGCAAAAGATCATATAGAAGAAACCACTTAATATAGTCTATAGCTTGGACTGCAGACTATAGAATAGTCTATAGTCTGGACTATAGAATAGTCTATAGTCTGGACTACGGACTAGTCTATAGTCTGGACTATAGAATAGTCTATAGTTTGGACTATAGAATAGTATATAGTCTGGACTATAGAATAGTCTATAGTCTGGACTATAGAATAGTCTATAGTCTGTAGTATATAGAACAGTCTATAGTCTGGACTATAGATCAGTCTACAGTCTGGACTATAGTACAGTCTATAGTCTGGACTATAGAACAATCTATAGTCTTGACTAAAGACTATTCTATAGTCAAGACTATAGATTATTCCATAGTCTGGACTATAGTATAGTTTATAGTCTGGACTATAGAATAGTCTATAGTCTGGACTATAGAATAGTCTATAGTCTGGACTATAGAATAGACTATAGTCTGGACTATAGAATAGTCTATAGTCTGGACTATAGAATAATCTATAGTCTGGACTATAGAATAGTCTATAGTCTGGACCATAGAATATTCTATAGTCTGGACCATAGAATAGTCTATAGTCCGGACCATAGAATAGTCTATAGTGTGGACTATAGAGTAGTCTATAGTCTAGACTATAGAATAGTCTATAGTCTAGACTATAGAATAGTCTGTAGTTTAGACTATAGAATAGTCTATAGTCTGGACTATAGAATAGTCTATAGTCTGGACTATAGAATAGTCTATAGTCTGGACTATAGAATAGTCTATAGTCTGGACTATAGAATAGTCTATAGTCACACTTACTGTTACGTTTCGTTATTATGTTTAGTGTGCAACTTGATACTATTATAAATCAACTATATATAAAAGTAAAAGAAATATTTGTTTAAATATGTTTTAATAAAGCAGATATTTCCCCTCTGCTGTTGGCATTTTTTCACGGTGTATATATTTAAGCAATTTGATACATTTTTAGCGTTTTAATAAAAAAAAAAAAACTACTCATATATAAATATTATTGTCTGAGTCCCAGCAACAGCTAGCAAGACAGTTTATAAAAGTAATATTGGACGGGGACAGTCAAGATAATAATTACTTGGAGACGAAACAACAGAAATGAGACTCTTGGTTGGTATGGAATAATCATGCCTGACATACTTAGTTTTTAATAATTTTTGCTATAATGCTTTAAGAGAAATTTATGTTTTGGGATGAAAATTTTTTGAATATTTTTGTCTGAATGTCGGTTGTATGGTTTTCTGGAATTCGTTTATTGTTTTGAAATAATTGCTTGAAATGTTTAATATTTTTTTGTGGTGTTTTAGTAAAATCAGCTGTTGGTATATAAAGTTTGTTAGAATTACAATTTTGAGATTTTTGTCTGATTGTCGGATGATTGAATTTTATGTTTCTGTTAATAAGTTTGAGAGGAAAATGTTACTAAACTATAGATTTGTATGATTTAAATATTCGTTATTTTCATTTATTGTTTCCAAACTTTTGTCTGTTTGTCGGACAACTTATTTTTTGACTCATTTGTTATTTTAAGACTTTTGTCTGTTTGTCGGATAACTTGTTTTTCCAGTAGTTTGAGAAATTTTTTGTTTAGGAAACCTTCATAAAGGTAATAATTTTTATTTTTTAAGTTTCTTTGCCTTAAGTAAATTTTCAGATTTTTGTCTGATTGTCGGTTGACTGCATAATTTTTGCTTTAAAGCGATTTTCTTAAGTTTTTTGATAAATAAATATTGTTAATATAAAAAATTTACACGATTTGACTATAATTTTGTTCGATTTATAGTTTTCAGATTTTTGTCTGATTGTCGGTTGACTAAATATTTTTAGATTTGAAGGTCTATGTTTCATTTTAGTTAAAGAAAATGTTGTTTATTTAATAATGTGTGTGATTTGAATGTTATTTTGTCTGATTTATTACTTTGAAAATTTTGTCTGTTTGTCGGATAACTTCAGTATTTTCAGTATTTTGATACAATTTTTATTAGGAATATTTTTAAGGTAAATATTTTAAAAGTTTCGTAGATTCTGCCTTTTCAAATTTGTATTTAATGGATTTTCAGATTTTTGTCTGATTGTCGGTTGACTGGCTATTTCTTGGTTTTAAGAAATTTTAGTTAAATTTAGTCTAAGAACATGTTGTTGATCCAATATTTGACACGATTTTATTATAATTTGGCTGGATTTATAATTTTGAGATTTTTTGTCTGATTGTCGGTTGATGGAATATTTTTTGTTTTTGAGATGTTTCGTTAAATTTTCTTAAAAGAAACTAGTTTTAAAGGAATAATTTGTTTGATTTTACTTTAATTTTGTCTGATTTGTTAATTTGAGATTTTTGTCTGATTGTCGGTTGAAAGGAATTTTCGGTATTTTGTGATTTCTTAATAGATTTTAGTATAAAAATCTTGTTTGAAAAGTCTAAGGACACAAGTTTCATATAAAATTAATTTTCATATTTTTGTCTGATTGTCGGTTGATTGTATTTTTCTCGAGTTTGAGGCATGAAATAGATTTTTATTAGATTAAAATATATTGTTAATTCAATAATATGTTCGATTTTACTTTAGTTTTGTCTGAATTGTTATTTTGAGATTTTTGTCTGTTTGTCGGATAACTTTGTTTTTTAATATTTTAAGTATGTTTTAATAAGAAACTCTTTTAATGTAATAACTTATAGCTTGTTAATGCTTTAAGACTACAATTTCGAAATAAAATTGATTTACAGATTTTTGTCTGATTGTCGGGTGACTGGTTATTTGATAGTTTTTTAGCATTCTCTTATATTTTATCCAAAGAAAATAAGTAATTTAGTTGTTTCTATTTTAATTTTTGCCTGATTTGTTATTTTGAGATTTTTGTCTGATTGTCGGTTGATCGCAATTTTCGTGATATTGAAACTTTTTGCTAGATTTAAGCGAAAGTTGCTCAAATTTGGTTATATTTATGGCAGAATCTGGTTTATGAAGTTAAAATTTTCTAGTCAAATGTGTATTTAAACATTTGTCTGATTGTCGGTCATGGAGATTTTTCTTATTATATTAATATTTTATAGGAAATTATTATAACATAAATTATTTCTAAAACCTCTAAAGATTTTTTTATGAGCTTAACTCAACACTGGTTTAGTTTTTACTACTTTTCCTATCCACCTGGCTTCGACTCAGTGAATTTTCTATAAATCTAATATTTTATTGTTATTTTTATTGTACAACTATGTATCAGATTTCAATATTTTTATATATAGTTTTTTATCTTTTACTTTACAGTTTTATAATACCACACCACCACCCCCGTCTTCTATACTCATCTTTCTAACTGCTGTCAAGTGTTAAACTTTACCTGACAACACTTTTATTTTTGGATACGTGTTGAATTGCAAAATAATAAAATATTTTTTTAAATTTATTTGAATTTCCTTTAAACGAACACATTTCGTACTATTCGCACTTTACTTAACGTAAGTTTGTATGGTCATCATCTCTAGACAAAAACATTTTGCTACAGCTGTGTAAAAGTTGCTAAAAGTTGTCATAGTAACTAGTCTTTGGTTACAGCAAACAAAAAAAAAAGTAAACTTTTACAACGTCAACCGGAGTAGTAAAACTACAACAACTACATAGTAGTAGAAAAAACTTACCAGGTAAGTTTTCAATATAAAACATTTCCGCTTTTGTTTTTTTTTTTTTTTTTGCCAAATTTTTCCGCTAGTGATTTTCTTTCTTTTTTTTAACATTTTATATAATATTTTTGTATTAATTATTCGCCCAAAATACAAAACAATATAGTAATTATGTTGCATTTATTACAAAAAGGTTAAAAAGCACGCGATTTTTGATTAAAACTTATTAGGTAATCGGCTCAATGTATAAGGTTTTTGGGTTAAAATTATAAACAAAGAAAATATTCGGAAATTAAATAAGTTAATTAAATATATAAATATTAAATAATATTAATAAATAAAATAATAATAAAAATAATTACATAAGTTTTTTTAATGTTATTAACATGTTTTTACTCTGGTAAAACTTGTTAAATTTTTAACAAATTAACATTTTCGATAAAAATTCATCAACAACACACTATAGTACAGAATATAGACTAGTCTATAGTACATACTATGGACTGATCTATAGCACAGACTATAGACGCATCTATAGTCCATACTATAGACTGTTTCATAGTCCAGACTATAGACTGTGCTATAGTCCAAACTATAGCCTGTTCTATAGTCCAGACAAGAGACAGTTCGATAGTCCAGACTATGGACTCTTCTATAGTCCAGACTATAGACTGTTCTATAGTGCAGACTTTAGACTGTGCTATACTCCAGGCTATAGACTGTTCCATAGTCCAGACTAGAGGCTATTCTATAGTCCAGACTATAGACTGTTCTATGTTCTAGACTATAGACTGGTCTATAGTCCAGACTATAGACTTTTCTATAGTTCAGACTATAGACTGTTCTATAGTCCAGACTATAGACTGTTCTATAGTCCATACTACAGACGGTTCTATACTCCAGACTATAGACTGTTCTATAGTCCCGTCTATATACTGTTCTATAACCCAGACTATAGAGTGTACTATAGTCCAGACTATAGAGCGTACTATAGTCCATACGATACACTGTTCTGTAGGCCAGAAAACCGTCAGGTTTGTAGGATAGAATATAGCACATACTATGGTCCAGACTCTAGACTTTTCTATAGTCCAAACTATAGACTATTCTATGGTCCAGACTATATACGGTTCTATAGTCCAGACTATATACTGTTCTATAGTCCAGACTATAGGCAGTTCTATAGTCCAGACTATAGGCAGTTCTATAGTCCAGACTATAGGCAGTTCTATAGTCCAGACTATAGACTGTTCTATAGTTTAGTAAATAGGCAGACCTATAGTCCACATTATTGTTCCTTTTATAGTCCACACTATATCATCTGTTCTATAGCCCAGATTATATAATCTGTTCTATAGCCCAGATTATATAATCTGTTCTATAGTAAAGACTATACTCTGTTCTATAGTCCAGACTATAGGCTGTTCTATAGTCCAGACTATATACTGTTCTATAGTCCAGACTATATACTGTTCTATAGTCCAGACTACAGACTGTTCTATGGTCCTGACTATAGACTGTTCTATAGTCCAGACTATAGAGTGTTCTATAGTCCAGACTATAGAGTGTTCTATAGTCCAGACTATATACTGCTCTATAGTCCAGACTATAGACTGTTCTATTGTCCAGACTATAGACAGTTATATATTCCAGACTATAGACTGTTCTATAGTCCATACTATAGACTGCTCTATAGTCCAGACTGTAGACTGTTCTATAGTCCAGACTAGAGACTGTACTATAGTCCAGACTATAGAATGTTCTATAGTCCAGACTATGGAATGTTCTATAGTCCAGACTATAGAATGTTCTATATTACAGACTATAGACTGTTCTATAGTCCAGACTATACTGTTTTATAGAGTCTATAGACAGTATATAGACTGTTATATAGTTCAGACTATAGACTGTTCGAAAGTCCAGACTATAGACTGTTCTATAGTTCAGGCTATAAACTGTTTTATATTCCAGACTATAGACTGTTCTATATTCCAGACTATAGACTGTTCCATAATCCAGACTATAGACTGTTCTATAGTCCGAACTATAGCAGTTCTATAATCCAGGCTATAGACTGTTCTATATAGTATAGACTGTTCTATAGTCCCGTCTACGTACTGTTCTATAGTCCAGTCTATAGACTGTTATATAGTCCAGACTATAGACTGTTCGAAAGTCCAGACTATAAACTGTTTTATATTCCAGACTATAGACTGTTCTATAGTCCAAACTATAGACTGTTCTATAGTCCAAACTATAGACTGTTCTATAGTCCAGACTATAGACTGTTCTGTAATCCAGACTATAGAACAAGTTATAGTCTATTCTACAGTTTAGAATATAGACTGTTCTATAGTCCAGACTATAGACTGTTCTATAGTCCAGACTATAGACTGTTCTATAGTCCAGACTATAGACTGTTCTATAGTCCAGACTATAGACTGTTCTATAGTCCAGACTATAGACTGTTCTATAGTCCAGATTATAGACTGTTCTATAGTCCAGACTATAGATTGTTCTAAAGTTCAGACTGTAGACTTTTCTATAGTTCCAGACTATAGACTAGACTGGCCTATATTCCAGATATAGGCTGTTCTATAGACAAGACTATGGACTGTTTTATAGACCAGACTATAGACTATTCAATAATCCAGACTATAGGCTGTTCTGTTGTCCAAACGATAGACTGTTCTATAGTCCAGACTGTAGGTTGTTCTGTAGTCTGGACTATAGAATGTTCTATGGTCCAGACTGTAGACTGTTCTATAGTCTAGGCTATAGTTTGTTCAGTTCTATAGTCCAGACTTTATTCGTTCAGAAAACTTAGCTTTTTCGTAAATTTTTAATTTTGTAATGGAAAATTGTAAAACTTGTTTGTTAAGTTCTACTTTGCTTATTGCTTCTCGCGAGTGTTCAAAAATATTTTCTTTCCATTATATTAAAGTACAAAGTAATAATTTTCGCAAATTTGAAATTTAAACAACATTTTAAAATTTACATTTAAAACTTAACAAAGAACTTTTTTCGATTAGAAATAAAAATGCAAACAAAGAAAAAAATTTTAAATAAAAATCACTTAAAAGTTGTAGAAAAATTCCTTATTCTCTGACCACCTGTTAAACATTTGGTGACTGCAGCTAGCAAACACTTTTAGCTTCAAAAAGCCAAAACATGAATAAACATTTTTTTCTCTTAACAGCTTAAAAAAAATGTAAATAAACTCCAGCTTAAAAGCCAGTGAAAAACAAAAGCGTCAATTTTAAACCATTAAAAGAACGTGCCTTTTTATTATGAGGGTCATAAAAAAAGCACACACATATTTTGCTGGTCGTATGTTTAGCGGATTTCGTTTCGTTTTTTGTTTTCCACTTCTTCTACATTAAGCCTGTCTTTTTTAGTGGAACAAGGAAATTGCTGTTTTGTACATTTCACTGACTTGATCAAAGATTTTGTGGTTACCTTAACGGGCAACAAGTTTGACAGGTTTACTTTGGCATACTTCTTAAAAAAAATAACTTTTGCTGGTTTTTTAGGTCATGTTAAAGTTAAACTGGAGTTTCTTTAAGGCTGTTTTTATAGGGTCATTTTTCAGTTAATGGCTGATTAACCAGAAAAAAAGACACATTCCAAAAGAAAAATAAAAGTTGTTGATTTTTTTTATAAAGGAAATCACAAAATTGTGTCAAGAATTGGCATAAAATTTATATTAAAATTTTATATCAATAAAAGTAAAGAAATATAAAATTTTAAATGTAGTCTGTGCTATAAAACAGACTATAGACTGAACTATACAACAAATTATAGTCTGTACTATGAAACAGACTATAGTCTGGACTTTAGACTATAGAATAGTCTATAGTCTGGACTATATAACAGTCTATAGCCTGGACTATAGAATACTCTATAGTCTCGAATATAGAACAAACTGTAGTCTGGACTATAGAAGAGATTATATAATCTGGGCTATAGAAGAAACCATAATATCGACTATAGAACTGCCTATTTTCTGAACTATAGAACAGTCAATAGTCTAGACTATAGAACAGTATATATTCTGGAATTAGAACAGTCTATAGTCTGGACTATAGAACATTC